GGCAGTATTGATCCTGTGTTGTTACTTAACAAAAGGAAGGGAGATGTTACAGGGTGGTTTAGGCTAGGTTGCAGCTCCACCCTGTGGACGTATTGTGCCTGTGTTATATATATCTGCCTCACGTAATATACCTCAGTTGTATGATTGCCTGCTCAATGTGAATACACGGCGTTGAGACACAGCCTGACTTGCCTTGTTTATTAATGCACATACATCTACAAACAATTTTCCCCTGTGCAATTCCAGTCTCACATCTCACAGCACATCGTCATTAACAAATACCGGAAACAGACCGAAAACCTTTTTTTTTTTAAATAATACTTTATTCCGAGTGTGCTTGCTTTTCTCTTTGGAAGTCATCACATAACGGCATGGTAATACACGGTTCGGCTGCATTAAATATTACATATCTGCCGTAGTTCTGTATTTATAGAGCCCTGATGAGAAGACTTCTAGACAAACATGAGGAACTGAAAACGTGACGTGGATCATAAATATATCAGCCATTAAACAACATCTTACATTTCTTTTCACACAATACATCTCCTTGCAGTATCAACACTAATTCGGCTGACTTTTATATTTGATCCAATTGGTAGATAGGCTGTATTTACACCATAAAGGTGCACAGCTGATATAAAGGGACACCTAGTGGTTAAAGCATGTTATTGAATTTCATTATTTTTATTATTAGATATTAATAGGATCCCTATAAAGTATATTCATTACTCGTTATTCTCTACTAATAGTTCATTAAAGACTGTATATAATGACTATTTTGCACATCCCTTTCAAGATTTCAAGATTTTCTAAGGTTTATTGACACATCATATTCACAAACGGTGTAGTTATGCATTGAAGATCGGTCCCAAGGGCAGCTGGAAACCAGTCCAGATAGGACTGGTGATGGCCACAACAACAATCCTGGAGGTCCAGCATGACCTGTTGAGACAAGGGCACAAATTTGTTCTCACAAGCCGCTTCACTCAAGACTGCCTGGAAAACACATTTTCGTCCATTCGTCTGAGGAACTCTGTCCCAACACCTGGAGAGTTCCAATATGCTCTGCGCGCTGTCACTGTGGGTGAAAAAAAAAGTGCTAATTATTTTTCTCATCCTTCATTCACTGCTGTAGAGTAGCCTATTCAGTAGGCTATTATTTGTTTAAGACTGAATAATACCTTTGAAGAACAATCATTAAACTAGTGTGTATATTACAATACAAAGGAATCTATCCTAGCATGCCATCAAGCATTAAAAAGTAGCGCTAGGCTAGTTGTACAGTACAGATGAGTTAACACGGAACAGTACCAAAAAAAACAAAGTACAGTCAACATGTCACATAATGAAATGTTAGTATATCCCAAAATTCAATGAAATATTAAATGAAATATTTATCACAAACGCCACCTCATTTCTACTAGTGCTAGCAGTTAAGTCATATCATACAGAAAAAGCCGACTAAGGATGGCTGACACGGTCAGGTTCAGCGGATAAAAACCAAAATAACAATAAAAACACATAATCAATCTAAATCCTGCTTGTTAGTTACCCAGCATCATTGATATATAAGCTGCTAGCGATTAATTACTGAAATCTTACCTTCAAAGCTGACGAAGTCGCGCTAGCTAACTAGCAGGCAATGCTAGCTAAATTGGTTGTAACAACCAAGATAAAATATAGATAATTACGCTGTGCATATACAAATGAAGACCAGTATAAGCATCATAAAGGGCCTCTGATACAATATAGACAGTTGACAATTCAAAAGAGTTCGATATTTCAGCAACTTACCTCTGGAACTAATCGACGCGCCGTAATGTAAGTGAATGAGGTCGAACGCCCAAATGACAATATTTTTGAACTATTTCGATGTCCATACCCCGGAAGTAGGCGCCGCCATTTTTTACAACGGAGGTCTATGGGAGTGTCGTAACTCTTATCTCTCTAGGGCTCTGGTTGGGTCATTCCAGAATTGGAGGACAATTTAGACACTGTAGTGCCGAGAGATAGGGAGTCGGAGGCGGTGCAATGGAGGTACAAAGCTTGCTTTAATGAGCAGCAGAAATGTAGATGTTGTTGGGTCGCAGCCCGGGACGACAAGAGAGTGAAGTCAGGAGGGCACACACATATATAGTAAACACATAACACGTCCGTGTGGGAACAATAGCCCCAACTGTAGTTCCATGTATGAATTATGTCCCAGTGTATTAATAGGTGGTCACCACACAAGCCCCCCCAGAATTCAAACATGGCAACAAAAAAAAAAAATCCTCGCGTCCGTGGAGGAAGCACCACAGGGGCCGAGGAGGGTGGGGCCGCAGGTGAGGACCGGGCCATGGAACGGGCCACGAAAGGGGGCCGCAGGAGAGGGCAGGGGCCCTAACGAGGGCGAGGGCACCCACACCGGGGGGCCGCAGTAGGTGTCGCGGAGAACCCAGCAGGAAAGAGCGCAACCCGGCCGCAGGCAGACGCACAATGGCGGTGGGCACGAAGCCCTCGGCAGGCGTCGAGGTATCCCCGGAAGAGAGGAGCAGTCCCCCTGGGAGGAAGGAGCGCAACCCGGTCGCAGGCAGACGTGCAACGGCGGCGGGCACGAAATCCTCGGCAGGCGTCGAGGCATCCCCGGGAAGCAGGAGAGCAACCCGGCCGCAGGCAGACGTGCCGCGGCGGCGGGCATGAAGTCCTCAGCAGATGTCGAGGCATCCCTGGGAAGCAGGAGAGGCCAGACAGGGTCCGGAGCGCGCCACCCACGGGCCGATGGCAGCATGGGCGACGTCCAAAACCGTCGAGGCGAGACGGGGTCCAGGAGTGCACCACCCAGGCGTCGATGAAAACGTGAGTGGCGTCTGGAACCGCCGTGGAGGTGGTGAAAAATGTGAGAGTGTCCACATGAGGTCAACTGGCTGGTCGAACCTCCTCTCCGGCACCAGAAAAAAAACTCAAAAAAGGATCGATAGCCGTTAGCAGCTAGCTGGCAGCCATCGGTAGCTGCTAGCCGTAGCCGTTAGCTAACGTGGTTAGCTGCTAGTCGTCGATAGCTAGCGCAGCCTGGACTTGCAGCCGCACGCCCCGAAGAAACAACCCCACGTGGAAAGAGTCTGGTTCTCTCCCCTACCCAGCAGGTCGTGCATCGTCTCCGTGTAGATGGAAGGCCCGCTGTCCTCCAGTGTCGAGACGATGCGGGAATGGCGAGTGACGTCCTCAGCCATTCCGCGGGGGGCGCACCGAGCCTCAGTCCGTGTGCCCATGGCAGCCACGGACATCTCCAACAATCTCTGGCATAACGAGAAAAACAGCGCTTTTCGCCATGTTCGGGTCCGTCCCGGAAACTTCACGAGACGTTGTCAGGGTCACCAATGTAGTGCCGAGAGATAGGGAGTCGGAGGCGGTGCAATGGAGGTACAAAGCTTGCTTTAATGAGCAGCAGAAATGTAGATGTTGTTGGGTCGCAGCCCGGGAAGACAAGAGAGTGAAGTCAGGAGGGCACACACATATATAGTAAACACATAACATGTCCGTGTCGGAACAATAGCCCCAACTGTAGTTCCATGTATGAATTATGTCCCAGTGTATTAATAGGTGGTCACCACAACACCAACATTTTTGAAAAATTAACCTTTTATTTTATAATTTTTTTAATGTATTTAGGAAAAACAGATAAAAAACCATCAAACAAATTGATTTGCCCAGCTAGGCATCAAATTAATATTTTCGAATGAAGAATTACCCCTGTTACTCTAATTATAGTAACAGGGTTGAAAGTAACAGGGTTGAAAATCAATGCTAATTTGAGCTTTAACCTCAGGAATTATTGCTAGATGTAGCATGTAATGCTACTTTCAAGGTAAGGACAAACTTGGATATCTAATGCAAGAAAGATAACTTTTAAATGAATATACTTTATTCTGATAATATCAGTAACAGGGTTGAGTGGGTCAGAGTGCCACACTCTTTTAAGACTGAAAAGATTGTAAAAATATGAAAAATAAAAGAGGACTTAGTTTTGGTCTACCCATGGCACTAGCACATGGCTTGCTGATGTCCTTTCCACTGTGTCATCTGACTTACAGTTTTTTCACTTCCTGTGCCAATCTAAAAAGGTTTGGGTAACAGGGTTGAACGCATGTTGAGGGACACACCTTCTGTGCAAAATTATTGTTATCTAAAATATGTTTATGATTTAACAAATTGATTTTACCATTACAAGAGACATATATCAATAGAATAATACCAAAAAAAGTAAATAAAATCCCTATTTTAAATGTTATATTTGACATGCAAGTTGGTCACCAAGAAGCGGGGACAAGAGAAAAATGCCATTTTAGGGGATGTTCGAGAGCTATTTGATAATTTAAATAATATTTTGAAACCACTTTTTCTACAACTTTATATACATTTTGTCTCAATACAAGTATGTTTAACACAACAAGTGCATGTTTTAGCATTTTGGGCATGGATTATTAGATTGTTATATGGGGGACATGAAATGTCCTCCAATTCTGGAATGACCCGGTTACGTTATTATGAGAGTGCTCTCATACTTTAAATTGTATATATAAATATATGTGTGTGTGTATATGTCCGCATCTGTAGCCTGTTATTGTCTCATCATACCGCACTGTGGTGAATGAATCAAAGTAAATATATAAGTCGTCATGAACACATCTGTCCATCAGACAGAGGGCTGCTGTGCCTCCTGTCATCATTAATGGACGTCTCTTTAAAATGACCGCTCAGATGAGAGGAGTTCTCCTTTCTCTAACTGCCTGCTGCTTCCCCTCCTCTCTCCTCGGTTCCCCTCCTCAGTCCTCCGCTCGCATCTCCTGTGAGCGGGACTAAGTCTCCAGGATAGGAGGGGAAATTTAAGAATTGAGAAGCCTCTACTGTGTCATATGAATCTGACTGATATGAAAACAGCACGGCATGTGGTCATATAACCCTTCAACGCCCTCCAGAGGAGGAGTGCAGCATTACATCATTCATTCCTGCTGGCTGAAAATAGTTAAGTTTCGGTTTCCAATCCTCAGAAATGATTCCGAGCCTTCCTACTGCAGTGAATACAGCAGCTGCTCAGAGCTGCAGTTGCTGTCTGGTTGGTCTGGTTCAGCTGGGAGCAGGACAACAGGAAGAGGGTGAACAATAATGGAGCTAGAGTCAGGAATATTACAGTTTATCTGCGCTAGTCAGGGATCAGTGAACACTGAGGAGCTGCTGTGTAACCTCGGCTCAGGCGATGCTACGGCTGACATCATCAGTAACCGAGAGAAATTCGCCTTCGTTTGTCCGTTCGGTCAGCCGAAGGTGGTGGCGCGGACCAGGCTGAGGCTGTGCCTCTTGAAGGACTGTCCGGGCGCGTGCACTGGGCTGCACTTGTGTAAAAAGTTCCTCTTTACTGGATCCTGTCCGTTCACCCGCACGAGGTAAACACAGTCGACCGGGTGTGTCATATGACTGCTGGGCAGACACTTGGAGAGGCCTGCCCTGCACCCCCACATACATGTCTCAGTGTTTTTAATTGTTGATTTCCTAATAACATTATTTCCCAGTGTTGTTAAAGCGATTCAACAGAGAAACGACCACAGGGTTGTTCAGGTTTATTATTAATGTGATGTGTTCGCATAATGTAATTACTTGTTTTTAAAGGCCTGGAGGAACGTGGTGCGTTCAGGCACTCTTCGCTTCCCCCCCCTTCTTCCCTTTATTCAAGAATAGTCAATTTATATCAAGTTAGAATACTGAAACTTAAGTCTTATCTTAAGATTTCGTGAAAATAGCTTATAAGGTTAATGATAGCCTATATGTCTACAAGCTAAATATGGTGCGTAGCTAATTCCTTCTGCAGTTTAGTTTAGCTCACGTTTTTTCAGGGGGGAATAAACTAGCTAGCTACCAAATCCATGTTCCAGCACTTCTAAAGAGCAATAATTGCAGCTTATCTATACTTTAATAAAGTAACATTAAAGATCAAGTGTTTAGATATATTGGCATCCATAGGGAATGGGAAGCGCTGTGCATTCTGGGCAGGGGCGTAGCGCAAAACTCCGGGACCTACTGTATACGTAAACTGTCTCTGTGGTCCTCCTTTCTCTCTTGATCCATGTCTCTCATGCATCTTATGAAATGTACAATTTACAAATGATTGAGCCAACAACTGTACACATTGATCTGAAGCGGTTATTAGGGTAGTCACTAATGAACTAAAGTAGAACTAAAGTATAAGTAGTAATAATAGAAGTAATAATAATCTGTGCACATGTTGACCCTCTTTCCTCAACATACTGTAGCTTACAATTACTTTACTATGGTTAAATTAGGTTTGCTTGGAGTATCATGCTTAAGGGAACATTATCCATGTTTATTTAAGTATTTCTCATTCCCATGGTATAAGACAAAACTAAACACCATCTTAGTTTTCTAACCACTACATTGAGAAAGTGCTTACTATACTGCATAATAAAAGACAACTCAACAAGACTTCACTAGTCATGTTTATTTGCATAAACTATAACACACAACAAATCAGAAAGCATATAGGCAAAAAAGCAATAATTAAAACTTTAGAAAGCTGAAAAAACGTTACAAGTTATGCTTTGGATAATATGATTGATCTTGAAGTTATTGAACAAATATGAAGAATGTCTTACTTCAAACTTGAATGTATGTTATGGAACTGATGCTGACAGTCATGATATTGAAGTTCATTCCCCAGTAAATGCCCAGTGACGGGTCTTCTTGTTAGCAAAATCATTAGCTGACAAGCTTCTTCTTTGAATTATCAGAGCAAGCGGCACCTCAGGAAGTGTGCCAGTCGCTTTAGCAATCCTCGTGGTAGTTGTAGTGGGCTGCCATTATGTAGGGCGCCCAGGGAGCAGTGTAGGGAACAGTGCCTTGCTCAGGGACACCTCTTGCAGCACTTGGTCTTTCGGGGACTTGAACCGGTGACCTTCCAGTTCCCAAGCCAAGTGCCTATGGACTGTGCCACCACCAACCATCTGTTTGCTGTTATTGATCATTGTGAAGACCAGTGGTGGATTTAGGATTGTAGGAGATCCGGGGCTTAGCCCAGGAGTTGTTGGGGGGGGGGGGGGGGGTGCAGGGGTAAAGTGCTATTTTTTGACAAGTGGGGGGTGGACTGAACGTCGCCTCCTCTCCAGGGGCATGCCCCCCGGGAAGATTTTTTTTAAAAATATTGACGTTAAAAGCATCAATCTGGTGCACTTTGAGAGCAACATTAACCCTACCTTAAAGCGGACAAAAGGCACTGGAGAACACTTATTCATTAACACCATTTAATGAAGCAAACTAATGCCTTAACTCACTCAAATACAGTCGTTTACTTATTTCGGTGAAACGAATGTGCGTAGAGTTTTAAAGGATGCGGATAGTCTCACCTTGATTCTGGCGCATTGATTATCGTTTTATAGATCTATTCTCATCCACCATCTTTGTTTGTGACGTAAAGAGTGTAAGAGTCACCTTTCTGACTGTTGCCTGTTAGTTCCGTTGCTATGGTTCCGTTGTTATGTGTACTGAAACGAGAGCCGGTATAATTCTATGCGCAAAAACAAAATACAAATTGGAATACATTATTTTAGTGTCTTAAAAGTAGACTGAGGTATGAAGGGTTAACGTTACATCTTAGAATAATTTGTAGTCATGTTCTGTATACATACTAACATATAAGGGTATACTTAGTGTGGTTACTCCATGTTTTCTAGCTATAAGATTAACGTTACATCACTCTTTTTCACTTCTTACTCAGTCAGCCAGAGTGCAGATATCACCATTCGATTAACAAACCTGAAACATCATCCATTTCTTGACTGCTGGTGATCACATTGTTGTCAGCTGCTGATACTGCTGCTGCTGCAGCTTGTGGCGCCGGCTGCTTCAATGACAATAACTTTCTAATATCCATAACTTTATAGGCTATTAGCTTAAAACTCGTCAGGCACTAGGAAGGATCACTTCTTCTTCAGGGCAGCGGCTGCCTCTCTGATGGACTGCACATTACTCCCGTTACCATTACTATTTTTTTTTTTTAAGTGAAACATCCGAGGCTTTTCAGAAAACATCCGGGGCTTGAGCCCAAGTAGCCACCCCCTAGCGCCGCCACTGGTGAAGACCAGGCAGACGTTTTCCTGTTGTTTTGTATTCTAGCAGCTATCGGATGGAATCAATACATGGGCTGCACAGGTTGTCATGTCCGACTATCACAAGTAGAATCATAAAGAAAAATACGCCGGCAAAAATGGATGTAGAAAAACAGGTGATATTTTGTCAGATGGTGGATATAATGTCAATTTAATGTGAACTCTGACCCTTCTGCACTAGCCAGACAATGCAACAATAATATGTCCTTTTGGTCTAATTAAATGCATTGTTGTTACATTTTTAATATTTTCCATAACAAATCTATATTTAATATTTAAACAAATAATTGAACTGAAAGGTGTATTATGTTTTTTGATGACAGGACTGGATGCAGATTCTCCCATTGCCTGGACTCTTTCCACAATGCAGCGAAGCTGACTGAGCATGGTCTGGAGAGCCTGAGCCGGAGTGAGCTGTGCACCCTGCTGCTGCAGAGCGACACCAGGCTCCTGCCTCAGGTATGTACATCTGACTTCATTCAGAAGATTCAGACGTTTCTCAGATCAGATTGTTTTTGATTCAGAATGTTTGTCCAGCCAGGTGTGGAAAAAAGGTTATTTGTAACACTGATCAACAGGTCCCAAGATGTAGTGCCAACATGAAATTGTCCCTAACTTTAGTCTGTCTGCACCCTCGCAAAGGTTCATGAGTTGATTAATCCATTTAAAAAAAAAAAAAAAAAGTCACTGCTTTATGTTTAGTATCAAGGGAGTGTTCGCTAAAATAATTCACATTGTAACCTATATTTGTGTCAGTCAAAAAACAAGCCCCTCCCAACAGGGGGGGAGGGCGCAGCGAGAAATAAGTCCACAGTCCCAGGAAGTGACAAAGTCCAGATAAAGGCTGTTATAACCAGTACTCAAGTTGTAAAAAAAAATCAGGGGGGATGGTGGATTTTATCATATGGGGACATAATTTGTGCTGATAGCCCGCAGAGGGTGGGAGACCAACCAGCATAAAGATCATTATTATACTCCTAAAACAACATGCATGTTATGGATGTTCAGATACTTCAGAATCACCTCAGAATTAGAGACGGTCCCCGGGCTGCCATGGCACCACTAACATTTAGGGTCAAATGCAGAGGACAATTAGTGCAAAATCTTTTTTTCACTTTAATTTAAAGGGGGGGGAGGGAATACAAAAATGTGGTTATAATGGAAGTCTATGGTACAAATCTTGTAGGTTAACAGTCCCTAATTTATTATTCTGATGGATCAACTGATTATACTAATAATAAAGTCAAAATAGTTTTTAGAATATTGAATTATAGTGTATTTTTTCAAAAAAGCAGTTACTGGTATACGATCAAAACTGGTATCTAAAGGGTTACATTTGTATAGTAATTAATTAAATCATTATGTAAATTCTTTATGAAAAATTTGAGGAAAATAATTAGAAAAATATTGATCCGTCATCATTTTATTGCAGTTCAAATACAAATATTTTATGTTAACATTCCCAATGTTACTTTTTTTAACAGGGCATTAAGTGCAAATTGAAATTGTTTACAAAATATGAAAATATATTAAAAGATTATACAGATAATACAAAATAGGACCAATGTTGTCAATGGCTGCCTACTCCACTCTCCTCCATCTCATAGAAGTTTCCAAAGATTTTCATAATCATGTTTTTTGGTCTCAATTTTTCTGGCTCTTGCTTTCGGATTGTTAGCTAAGCAATGGCTTTGAAGCCAAGTCTTGACATATACCTCTGGTCTGAACTTGTTCAGTGGAGGGCCAACACACTTGATGAAAAGCAAGGCTGACATGCTTTTTACCTCTCGGGAGCTTCTAGTTGTGGTTAAAATGTTCATCTGACTAAACCCACGTTCACACTCAGCTGTGGATATGACCAGAGTGTTCACTGCTTGAAGGAGGGGTTTCAGCTCTTCTGGTGCTGGTGGTATCATTTCATCAACAGTTTTGAGTCTTACCAGCTAGCTAACACGAGAGAAAAACGTAGCTAAACTCCAAACTAAGTTGTTATTGCTGCTTATGTCCATAGATTCCACCTTTGGTGACTAAACTAATGAGTAATGACTAAGATTACTGACTCTTGACTTACCTGAAATGTTATTTTTAGTATTTTTAAACATGAAGTCCCTCAGATCGCGTTGTCCTCCTGGTTGATTGGCCATTGTGATGACCGTTACCTGCGCTTCTGGCATCGATCAAACAGGCGCATCACGGCGCTCTAGCACCCTCTAGGGCACTCGCATAGTATAGCGTCAGTGACTTGGTAAAAATGTCATTGCGTGTGTGCGTGCTAACTCGCCCACAGTATTTTACTCAAAATGCGCAAAATTAATGTTGAAATGGCAGTAATACCAGTGCCACGTTCATTGATACAATTACATAAGCGATGGAAAGGGGGAATGGCAGTTTTAGAAGGGGGATGATTTTGACCGTTTTTATTTCAGGGGGGATGCCATCCCCCCTCAACTCGAGTACTGGTTATAACCCCCCCCACCCGGCCCTCCCAAGCCCATCTTCCACTGCTGCATTAGGAAATGCAATTACCAGGGACAATCAGCATCGTGGAGGAATCCACGTCAACTGCCCACTGAGCTGAAAAAAGAAAATAACAAATTGTAAATTCTTCGTAATGAAAGACCAAATCTGATTTGTATAAAAAAGAACAGAATCAGGTTCAACCCTAACATCAAGCTAATTCTGGATCAGCTTTCTATAGACTTACATTTGATCCTTAATATTAAAATAATTAAATGTATTGTTATTGATTTATAGCATTTGTCCTTGAATTTTCTTCTTTGCATGTTTGTAACCATGTTTGTAATCATGCAACCTTTCCTCGTTACACCAGATATGTCATAATTACAACAATGGTGGTGGGCGGCTGGGCCTGTGTCAAGAGGGCGATAATTGCACAAGATTGCACATCTGCGAGAAGTACCTGAACAGCGTCTGCAGCTGCACCAAGAACCATGATTTTAGCGCTCCACAGCCACAAAAGAGCCTGTCTGACAGAGGCGTGCCGGACCAACTCTTTCCCTCGTTGATGTCTGTCTATGCCAACCTGCTGGCTCTGAAGTACGCCGACAGACAGGGCGACTCCGATGCCAGCGGCGCCGATGGTCTGATTCCACCACAGAGAGAGAGGCAAAGAGGGAGAGGGAGAGCTGGTTTCCGGGGCAACCCAGGCAACATGGGCAACCGAGGCAACAGAGGAAACATGGGCAACCGTGGCAACAGGGGCTTCAGGGGGAACAGAGGCAACCGGGGCAACAGAGGAAATCAAGACAACCAGCCAACCCGTTCCACTGATGAAGTCTTTGCTGACTTCGAAATCTTAGATCCGTTCACCGAAGATGGCCTGAGCCAAGATCGGAGACCTACCTCCCCGTACAGCGACGTCTCTGCTGCTGCCAACGACACCGATGCCAGCAGCGACGATGGAAAGAGCAGAAAGCCAAATCTGAATAAAACCTCAGCCGCTGTCCCAGGGAGAGGCAGCGACAGGGGCAACCATCAACCGCTGAACAGGAGTCGGGCTACTGCTGACCCTGAGTCAGTCAGCGACAACGCAAACAGTGAGGATGGAGCCAGAAGAAGACCGAGGCCTGTCAGAGGTAAACTACGCCCGCTTTCATTGAGTGTTTTTGAAAGAGCTGTGTGAAATGGAACGGCTTTATAACGCACCTCTGTCTGTTTCCTTTAGATAAAACTGAGATATGCATGTTCTTCATCAAAGGACACTGTAAACATGAGGGTGAGTAATCATTGATACATCATAGAGCATTATCAGAAACAGTAATCATTATACTGATTATTATGAAAATGTCAGAAATGGACTCGGTATCCTCAATTACCCACAAAACCACATTTTGTAACTATTATTTACATAGGCTATAATGTTAATCCATGCTAATGAATGCAACTTATGCTAATTGTGCAAATTGCCCAACATATGCAGGTTAGCATTCAGCAGGTTCTATGTGCTGGAGACCCGTACTATACATTTCTAACACAAAACTCTGGGGTACTTACGATTTCCAGATTCACAATAGGACTCTGAGCTGAACTAGACTAACTCTGTAACATGGCTACCTATTCTGACAGTGTTGTGTCAGCTATTTGAAATAAACATGAGCAAATCCTGCTGGAAATGCACGTGTTTTTTTCTTTTGTTGTACTAACAGAAATTGTGATTATATATATTTTTTTTATTACTTTATATTGCACTGACTAAAGTAAGGCTATTATTTATATGTTCACTTTTAAACCTGCAACACTCAAAAACATTGTTCCCAGAGATGTTAAAACCTTCATTTTGAAAGAGTTTTGGTTTGACTGGTTTGAGCCTTTAGCTTTTAAGTTGTGACGTCTTGTGTGAGGAAAATAAAAGAAGAAAATAACACAATGTGAGGAAGTACAGTTATGGTTACAGAACAATTACTCTATCTTGATATATACTGTTACCATGATACGAAAAAATCAAAGAGTTACACATTATTTTGGCCATATTGCCCAACCCTTGACCATGTCTTCTCAGACGAGCGATGTTATAAAGCCCACAACAAGATGCCGTACAGCTGGCAGGTGCTGCTGGATGATCAGTGGACTGCCCTACCTAATAATGAGACCATTGAGAAGGACTACTGTGACCCAAAGAACACATACAGGTACTCTCCACTGACATCAATGGTTTCTGTAGTTTTAGGAGATGTTATTCCGTGGTGTAAATAAATGAAATCGTAGAAATTAAATGATTATTTTGCTGTTTCCAGTAGCAGCAACCTGCCTGTAGACTTCGACATGATGACCCAAGGAGCGAACAAAGTACGCCGACTCTCCACCTCAAACTCTCTGGTGGATGTCAGCTTCCTCCACACCACCGAGTGGGTTTGGTACTGGGAGGATGAGCATGCATCCTGGACCATGTATGCTTCACGTGTGAGTAATGTAGGAGCAAACACAATAGTGGTGGCTTAAAGCCCACCTCTGCTCCACGCCGTCCGTTTAGATGAGCCTGGTCAGATTGATAAAAGAGGGAGTTCAACACACCGGCATAAAAGTTATAACAATAATCTGATTTTAATGGTAAAAAACACCAATACAAGTTTACAGAGTACTCTGGACTCCCAGTTCTACTGCTGTGCGATACAGGTATCGGGACCAGCCAGTCAGAAACAGGGGGCATTTTGCATGACTACACAACAGTATATATGGATATATTTTGAGGTGGAGAGCCACTTCTTATCTTCCACCGGACCCAACTCCTTTAATTTCCCAGGGAAGGTTTCACACAAACTATTATTTTCTAAACAATCAAACATTGTACACAGATATATTGGTATCAAACATTGTACACAGATATATTGGTGCTTGGGATTATTGGCCCCAGAAAGAACCTTGAAAAAGAACATGTGTGTGTGTTAGTGAGGGGAAGTGTATGTGTGTGTGTGTGCATGCTGATAAGCGGAGGCGTATGTGTGTGTGTTGCTGATATCTGGGTCAAGGAGTTTATGTGTGTGTGCTGGAGACAGGAGGTGTGTGTGTTGGCGATATCTGCCTTATGGAGTGTAGGTAAGAATGTTTATATATATAGGATTACTTCAAAACAGTCCCAAATAATACATGTTTACTTCAATACAGTTCAAGATAATACCTGTTTACTTTAATACAGTTTAGAACAATATCTGTGTGCTTTAGTAACTGGAGTCCTTTTTAGTTTGACATAGAGGTTATAATTCAGACATGCGTTTCTGACAGGAATTTAAATACTGTGACATCAGAAGACATTGCACCTGTCGATTGACGCGAAGTGATGAGCTTTACATTTCTTATTTCTGTTAAAGATCCTCTTATCAGTATGTTTACAGAAATTCTGCCTGTTTTATTTTTCCATATGGAAAATATTCTGCAATAAGGGTGTTCAGTCTCCCCAGCCAGCAACATTAGATAGCAGCCAATCGAGGTGTAAATGATGTGACCATTATAAGGCAGATCAAAGGTTAAAGTCATTACTCTGTCATAAGAACCCTGTGAACATAGGAACAGTTCCTCATAGATAACAGTGAGTTAGCAAACAGAGGAAAAAGGAAGCCAATGGTTAACTGAGGATATGCATACTGACAACATGCCTCTGAAAGCTAGTAAAGCTGATATGGGCAAAGAATTGCCACTTTACCTCTATTTCAGTGACATTTTGCAAGCGTACAACAACCCTTTCCAATACAAATATTAAAACAGTAACACAACATAATACACACATTTAAAAGCCAGTCTGAAGAGGTGTATTTTGGTCAGTGTTTTGAAGGTGGGGGGGGTTGGTGCAGTCTCTGATGTGTTGTGGAAGGGAGTTCCAGAGGGTGGGGGCAGGGGCGCCGCCAGGGATTTTGGGCCCCATGAAAATATATCACATTGGGCCCCACCACCAGGCACAGGACACGCCAACCAAGCACATTGCTGTAACCACACCTCCAGAACCCAACCCTCCCCCCATTGCACCTCATAATGTAATTTGACTGACATTAACGTTGACAGTATATATTTGATCAATTGTTGTTGGCAATTAGGCAGTAGTCTTTTTGCATACCATACCATCTGGCTCCTGATTGGTCACCGATCCCTTCAGCAGAGTTGTGAGGAATCGACTGTTCTGTGTTTCAGTCTGGTGGGCACAGCGCAGCAGACACTGGCAGCGCTGAGCTGGAGCAGAAGTTTCTGGACAACGCCAAAGATGTGGTGGAGTTCAGCGCTGGCTCACAGACATACTCACTCAGTTTCCAGGGTAAACAAATATTGCGCAATGGAGTTTTTTGAATTTTCAAACATTAATGCAGTACAATAATCGTTTCACTGTTCCTCAGACTTGATCCAAACAAACAAGCAGTACGGCACAAAGAGGGATGTGAAAAGACGGCCCCGGTTCGTCTCTGCAGCTGATGTTAGCGCAAAGAACACAAGGTGCGTTATCCAAACTAAAATATGTTGGACCAACTTATGGAACATTGTTATTCAAACCACCATAAGATGAAACTAACCCTTATTCTTTTTTGCTTTATAACAACAGAAGGCCTCTCGCTCAATCAAGCACTGTACCGGATCACTGGGACAAGACACAGATTTCTCAAACAGGATACAAGGTATTCATAATGTTCAGCAACATCAATCATATTGGACCATATCAAAGAATATGAAAAGTTCTCCTCGTAGGTCACAGGTCTTTGAAGGGTAAGGATCTGAGATGCAAGCACACAAAAACACCAACAAGTTTATTTCTAGTTACTTACACATGTATATCTAATACTACAGGTACTATAGGCAATTGTTTGGCCATAAAGAATACTTTCATACACATAGATTACACCTTGTTTAATTCGAATTACACTAGAAATAGCAAGCTTCCTAGACAGCAACAAAACAGAAGTCAGAAAAAGACAGTCTGGTTACTCAGATGAAATCATATTTTGGTAAGTTTCATGCTGCATGCCCAAGGGATACGTCCTGGCCAATCACTTATTATTTCACAGTTCTGTATGATAAAGCCTTTATAGACTCCCATTTTGTTTACCTTGCTTTGTGGCTGTAATTTCTTTGGTGTACTATCACCTTTTACAAAGACCAAAATAAAATGGATTGGGATTACTTCCATAATTACTTCATCCCCCCTGCAGAGCCACAGGTCCCGTCCAACCTGCTCCCTCTGCTGACATGAACCACAGCTGAGACAGCTCCCTCTGCTGGACAAACTGCTTCCTGTTAGTGTTGGAATTAAAGAGGCCATATAATGCTCATGTTCAGGTGTATATCAGTATGTAGTGTCTCTACTTTAAAGAGTCCTCTCCTGCTGATGTTCAGGTGTATATCAGTATGTAGTGTCTCTACTTTAAAGAGTCCTCTCCTGCTCATGTTCAGGTGTATATCAGTATATAGTGTCACAACTTTAAAGAGTCCTCTCCTGCTCATGTTCAGGTGTATATCAGTATGTAGTATCTCTACTTTAAAGAGTCCTCTCCTGCTGATGTTCAGGTGTATATCAGTATGTAGTGTCTCTACTTTACTTTAAAGAGTCCTCTCCTGCTGATGTTCAGGTGTATATCCGTATGTAGTGTCTCTACTTTAAAGAGTCCTCTCCTGCTGATGTTCAGGTGTATATCAGTATGTAGTGTCTCTACTTTAAAGAGTCCTCTCCTGCTGATGTTCAGGTGTATATCAGTATGTAGTGTCACAACTTTAAAGAGTCCTCTCCTGCTCATGTTCAGGTGTATATCAGTATGTAGTATCTCTACTTTAAAGAGTCCTCTCCTGCTCATGTTCAGGTGTATATCAGTATGTAGTATCTCTACTTTAAAGAGTCCTCTCCTGCTGATGTTCAGGTGTATATCAGTATGTAGTGTCTCTACTTTAAAGAGTCCTCTCCTGCTGATGTTCAGGTGTATATCAGTATGTAGTGTCTCTACTTTAAAGAGTCCTCTCCTGCTGATGTTCAGGTGTATATCAGTATGTAGTGTCTCTACTTTAAAGAGTCCTCTCCTGCTGATGTTCAGGTGTATATCAGTATGTAGTGTCACAACTTTAAAGAGTCCTCTCCTGCTCATGTTCAGGTGTATATCAGTATGTAGTATCTCTACTTTAAAGAGTCCTCTCCTGCTGATGTTCAGGTGTATATCAGTATGTAGTATCTCTACTTTAAAGAGTCCTCTCCTGCTGATGTTCAGGTGTATATCAGTATGTAGTGTCTCTACTTTAAAGAGTCCTCTCCTGCTGATGTTCAGGTGTATATCAGTATGTAGTGTCTCTACTTTAAAGAGTCCTCTCCTGCTGATGTTCAGGTGTATATCAGTATGTAGTGTCTCTACTTTAAAGAGTACTCTCCTGCTGATGTTCAGGTGTATATCAGTATGTAGTGTCTCTACTTTAAAGAGTACTCTCCTGCTGATGTTCAGGTGTATATCAGTATTTAGTGTCTCTACTTTAAAGAGTCCTCTTCTGCTGATGTTCAGGTGTATATCAGTATGTAGTGTATCTACTTTAAAGAGTCCTCTTCTGCTGATGTTCAGGTGTATATCAGTATGTAGTGTCTCTACTTTAAAGAGTCCTCTCCTGCTGATGTTCAGGTGTATATCAGTATGTAGTGTCTCTACTTTAAAGAGTCCTCTCCTGCTGATGTTCAGGTGTATATCAGTATGTAGTGTCTCTACTTTAAAGAGTCCTCTCCTGCTGATGTTCAGGTGTATATCAGTATGTAGTGTCTCTACTTTAAAGAGTACTCTCCTGCTGATGTTCAGGTGTATATCAGTATTTAGTGTCTCTACTTTAAAGAGTCCTCTCCTGCTGATGTTCAGGTGTATATCAGTATGTAGTGTCTCTACTTTAAAGAGTCCTCTCCTGCTGATGTTCAGGTGTATATCAGTATGTAGTGTCTCTACTTTAAAGAGTCTTCTCCTGCTGATGGTCAGGTGTATATCAGTATGTAGTGTCTCTACTTTAAAGAGTCCTCTCCTGCTGATGTTCAGGTGTACATCAGTATGTAGTGTCTCTACTTTAAAGAGTCCTCTCCTGCTGATGTTCAGGTTTATATCAGTATGTAGTGTCTCTACTTTAAAGAGTCCTCTTCTGCTGATGTTCAGGTGTATATCAGTATGTAGTGTCTCTACTTTAGAGAGTCCTCTCCTGCTGATGTTCAGGTGTATATCAGTATGTAGTGTCTCTACTTTAAAGAGTCCTCTCCTGCTGATGTTCAGGTGTATATCAGTATGTAGTGTCTCTACTTTAAAGAGTCCTCTCCTGCTTATGTTCAGGTGTATATCAGTATGTAGTGTCTCTACTTTAAAGAGTCCTCTCCTGCTGATGTTCAGGTGTATATCAGTATGTAGTGTCTCTACTTTAAAGAGTCCTCTGCTGCTGATGTTCAGGTGTATATCAGTATGTAGTGTCTCTACTTTAAAGAGTCCTCTCCTGCTGATGTTCAGGTGTATATTAGTATGTAGTGTCTCTACTTTAAAGAGTCCTCTCCTGCTGATGTTCAGGTGTATATCAGTATGTAGTGTCACAACTTTAAAGAGTCCTCTCCTGCTCATGTTCAGGTGTATATCAGTATGTAGTATCTCTACTTTAAAGAGTCCTCTCCTGCTCATGTTGAGGTGTATATCAGTATGTAGTGTCTCTACTTTAAAGAGTCCTCTCCTGCTGATGTTCAGGTGTATATCAGTATGTAGTGTCTCTACTTTAAAGAGTCCTCTCCTGCTGATGTTCAGGTGTATATCAGTATGTAGTGTCTCTACTTTAAAGAGTCCTCTCCTGCTGATGTTCAGGTGTATATCAGTATGTAGTGTCTCTACTTTAAAGAGTCCTCTCCTGCTGATGTTCAGGTGTATATCAGTATGTAGTGTCTCTACTTTAAAGAGTACTCTCCTGCTGATGTTCAGGTGTATATCAGTATTTAGTGTCTCTACTTTAAAGAGTCCTCTCCTGCTGATGTTCAGGTGTATATCAGTATGTAGTGTATCTACTTTAAAGAGTCCTCTTCTGCTGATGTTCAGGTGTATATCAGTATGTAGTGTCTCTACTTTAAAGAGTCCTCTCCTGCTGATGTTCAGGTGTATATCAGTATGTAGTGTCTCTACTTTTAAAGAGTCCTCTCCTGCTGATGTTCAGGTGTATATCAGTATGTAGTGTCTCTACTTTAAAGAGTCCCTCCTGCTGATGTTCAGGTGTATATCAGTATGTAGTGTCTCTACTTTAAAGAGTACTCTCCTGCTGATGTTCAGGTGTATATCAGTATTTAGTGTCTCTACTTTAAAGAGTCCTCTCCTGCTGATGTTCAGGTGTATATCAGTATGTAGTGTTTCTACTTTAAAGAGTCCTCTCCTGCTGATGTTCAGGTGTATATCAGTATGTAGTGTCTCTACTTTAAAGAGTCTTCTCCTGCTGATGGTCAGGTGTATATCAGTATGTAGTGTCTCTACTTTAAAGAGTCCTCTCCTGCTGATGTTCAGGTGTACATCAGTATGTAGTGTCTCTACTTTAAAGAGTCCTCTCCTGCTGATGTTCAGGTGTATATCAGTATGTAGTGTCTCTACTTTAAAGAGCCCTCTCCTGCTGATGTTCAGGTGTATATCAGTATGTAGTGTCTCTACTTTAAAGAGTCCTCTCCTGCTGATGTTCAGGTTTATATCAGTATGTAGTGTCTCTACTTTAAAGAGTCCTCTTCTGCTGATGTTCAGGTGTATATCAGTATGTAGTGTCTCTACTTAGAGAGTCCTCTCCTGCTGATGTTCAGGTGTATATCAGTATGTAGTGTCTCTACTTTAAAGAGTCCTCTCCTGCTGATGTTCAGGTGTATATCAGTATGTAGTGTCTCTACTTTAAAGAGTCCTCTCCTGCTGATGTTCAGGTGTATATCAGTATGTAGTGTCTCTACTTTAAAGAGTACTCTCCTGCTGATGTTCAGGTGTATATCAGTATGTAGTGTCTCTACTTTAAAGAGTCCTCTCCTGCTGATGTTCAGGTGTATATCAGTATGTAGTGTCTCTACTTTAAAGAGTCCTCTCCTGCTGATGTTCAGGTGTATATCAGTATTGTAGTGTCTCTACTTTAGAGAGTCCTCTCCTGCTGATGTTCAGGTGTATATCAGTATGTAGTGTCTCTACTTTAAAGAGTCCTCTCCTGCTTATGTTCAGGTGTATATCAGTATGTAGTGTCTCTACTTTAAAGAGTCCTCTCCTGCTGATGTTCAGGTGTATATCAGTATGTAGTGTCTCTACTTTAAAGAGTCCTCTGCTGCTGATGGTCAGGTGTATATCAGTATGTAGTGTCTCTACTTTAAAGAGTCCTCTCCTGCTGATGGTCAGGTGTATATCAGTATGTAGTGTCTCTACTTTAAAGAGTCCTCTCCTGCTGATGTTCAGGTGTATATCAGTATGTAGTGTCTCTACTTTAAAGAGTCCTCTCCTGCTGATGTTCAGGTGTATATCAGTATTTAGTGTCTCTACTAGGACATGTCTCCATGCTTTAATGTTCAAACAGCACTTTATTTTTCTCATACTGCCTGTGCTACAGCACCTCTTTTCACCCTCTGTCTGAAACCAGAGCCCAGTCTGCTCTGATTGGTTAGCTGGCCGGCTCTGTTGTGATTAGTCAACCGCTTAGAGATGTCCCGCCCCTTAGCCTACCACATACAATAAGTTCTTGTCCCTCCTCGACTCCTCTCTCCTCTCTCCTTGGTGACTTGACCCGGAAATCGATGGGGACACGCCATGTTGAAGGACGTCCCAATCGCTTAAATGCACACGGAGGAGTCGAGGAGAGAGGAGGGAGGAGGCTTCCAGAGAAGACGAGAGGGAGGATACATGAGTGTCGACTACGCGGAAGTGTTTTCACTACTCGCGCATCAAAGCTCCGCCCCCAGCTACACAGCCTCTGCACACTGCAGCTGTTCTGACTGTTAAAGGAGGATCAGTCATTAAATGTTTAAAGTGCTTCAATAAGAGTAAAATATATAAATCTCTTAAACGAATGAGGAGATCATACTCTATAAAAACATTAAATTGTGTGAAATATATATAATAACTAACAGTTCTTACTTGCGGTTTTTGAGGCAGATGTGGATAAAAACCAACGGAACGTCAAACATTAAGGATATATACAAATACGGGTAGCATACCTAACTAATCCTATTCTTGATTTGTGTCTCTCCTCTGTAGGAGAAATTAAATAACACCATCCAATACGAAAGTTAATCTGAAACAAGCTCTAATACCATCATTATCCCTGCTCCTTTTCGCTCAATGGTGTGTTTACAGAGACATGTTTTGTTAACAATTATTATACATTAAGTTTTGCATACCATCAACGGAACAAATAAAAATGAAATGAATCCATCAATTATTATTCTTGTTATGATTGCTTTTATAACTTTAAATGACATTTTATACTTGGAAAAACAAATACAGGACCGAAAATAATACATAGAAAACTATAATAAAAGAGATGAATGGAAGAGATGGACGAAATCATTTCAATGTGAAACTAAATCCCAGGTTTGAAGGGATTGATGTGGAGGGAGTCCAGTGACAGGAGATAACACTGCACGCAGCAGAAGTAAAGGGCGTTGTTTATGATGACGCTGGAGTGAACGAGGACATCCCAACTCATCCTCGTGTCTCTCGCTCGCGTCTTACGGGGGCAGAGCTAAGACGCGAGGAAGGGACACGAGTGAGGGAAAGGAGGAGGTGAAATAATCAATTGGGATGAACCTAATGTGTTGGAGCGCTACACACTACACGAAAAAGAAAACCCCCAAAAGCATGATAGAGCCTCTTAAGATATACACGGGTGGTAACAAAACATTTCACGGTAAAATACTGAAACGTGCAAGCAAAGGTAGGACCCTCATTTTGGATGTTATAAACGAGAAGACCCATACAAATGACAAGGCAAGAAAGAGAACAAAAAGGGTTGAGACACTGATAGGCTGAGCTATTTATTAGGATCCGGAGTAAATTTGACTTTTACATTTTTGTATTGCTCATCAAGATAGCTCCTACAATATTGTTTTATACTGGCCTATGCACATTTTTGCCATAGGTAATAATCATTTATTTTCCCTTTGTGTTTACAGACAGTCTCCCTCCATCGCACCTCAGGCGAATATATGGAGATTGAAACCCTCTTCTGTAACACCATGAGAGGCTTTGACATCGTGGAAATAGAAAGGATTCAGAACAAAGCTCTTTGGGAAGCCTTTCAGTTGTACGTATATGATTTGAGAAGATTTGTGTTTGGCATCTGAACTTATTATCCAGCTGTGTGATTGTGTGTGTGATAGCTGGGTTTATCATTGTATGTGCTTTCTGGTTGTTAAAGCCAGGCATTATAAAGAAATAAAGACAGATGTGAGCGTTGCAGCTCACGATAGGGATACAAATTACGGAGGAAAAAGGTCGGTTTGGAAAACAAGCAACGTTTATTTCAAACTGAGAGCGTCAACACAAAAGGGGTTCACATGAACACCGGTCTGCTCCTCTATTTCCGGACGTGGCTTGGAGAGTGACGGTCCTCCTCTCAGGACCCAATCTACTGCAAGAGCTCAGAACCAGGTTAACAGCATGCTTTCTACTGAGAGCCTGATTACATGATTCTGATCAGCTGTCTGGTCTCCGGCTGAGCCACTCCCATCACTCCAACCACACCCCGCTGCCACAACAGATTTTCTGGTTGCAGTCGAATAATCCAACAATCAGCTCCTAACGTCTAACCCTATCGTCTATTCCTTGACCTCTAAGTGAAACGTCATGGGGTTAAGGGATAGTGGATAGGAGAATTCAAAAGGACTTAGGAGAAGAGACTGCCGTACTTTAGAGAATCGACTGCACTTTCACTATCCGACGTGTTTATGATGCGCCAGCGGACGTCATGAATGTGCGTCTGCTGCTGTGGGGAAACTATGGAAACTACAGTTTTCTATGCAGCGGACTACAACATGGATGTTTAATAAGAACGAGGGACTACTGTAAACTCATCTAGAGACTCTGCACCGTGCTCTGATGCTGTTGCTTTGTGCTTTATGAACGTGGACAACAGAGAAACATATTCTTCAGGACCAAAGTTGGAATTGAAATAAAAAAGGAAAGTGAAACTTATGCTCGTCACCCTCTCCCTCCGGTCCACATTAATACAAATGATCCCAATACGTATGATTGTATGAAAATATCTTAAAATCAATACAAATGTATTTATTATAAACGTTAGTCCTTAACATCTATCACTGTGTATATCACCATTCAAACATCTTTTAAAAGTTGAACAAACCCCACACAGCTCAGTAAAGACTGTGAGATGTTGACTTTATTTGATCATTTCAGTAAAAACTAACGTTCGTATTTCTCTTTTTGATTATAATACTGATGAACGTTCAGAAAAAAGCACTTTGGCAACTTACCACATACGTTTTAAAATGCTTAATAAGCACCGTAACTTTCATGATATCATTTCTCCGTCATAATCGTTTGTTTCCGTGAACGGCCGACTGTTGAGTGACGGCAAATGCTGCGGTTACAATGCATTGTGGGGCAGCATTTTCTCCTCTCCTTTCGGTGAGGGAGGTCCAGTGGTTCCTAAGCTAAAGGAGGTTATAAAGGAAGTTTGAAACCTCCTTTCCTATCATCTAGAGAATTTGAACGGCACTTATCATGGCTGCCACTGAGGGACTTCCGGGTCATTTCACTCCCTTCCTAAGCTAAATGGACTGTTCGACCGCAACCTCTGTGTGTAGTGGTACAAAGAGTAACGACCTGTGTCCACATATAGCACACTCTTTCCATCCCCCCAACGTTACTCAGTCTCGCTTTATACATTAGCATGCATTCCTCAATGTGTCAACTAGATTTAAATTCAAAGTCTAACTTGTTTTTTTTAATAAAGGAAGAACAAACAGATGAAGGACAACAACAACGGGCACAATGTGACAGAAAAGAAGCTTTTTCATGGCACTAAATCTGAATATGTAGCCGTCATCTGCCACAAAAACTTTGACTGGAGAGTGTGTGGAGTTAATGGAACTGCTTTTGGCCAAGGTGAGATGAAGAACTAATCATTCCTGACTTGATAACATAACGTGCAGTTGTATTAAATAAAAAGTGTTTGCTCTTAAGAGGATGGGAGTGTAACTTACAGTAGGTTATCCTAACACCCTACCATCACAGTCAACATGCAGACACATTTAAAGGCACAGACTATTGACCCCATATCCCTTGTTATAGCTGCCCATTAGTTTTATTAAAGAGTGTTTGTTTTTGTCTTTGGTTTGGTAGTACATTTAATATCATTATATAGACAAACAGGTATACGCAAGAGGATTAGGGTCACGCGTAAATAACATTTTCTTTTTAATTCTGAGAAAAAGTTAATAAAGATTCTAACATTTTGATTCTCTTCTCTGTCCAATCGTAGGCAGTTACTTTGCCCGGGACGCAAAATACTCCCACAGCTACACCGAGGACTCTCATGTGAAATCCATGTTCGTGTCGCGGGTGCTGGTGGGGGACTACACCAGAGGGAGCTCCAGCTACCGCAAACCTCCTTCCAAAGACGGGGGGGTCATCAACCTGTACGACAGCTGCGTCGACGATGAAATCAAGCCTTCAATCTTTGTTGTGTTCGATTCAAACCAGATCTACCCCGAGTACCTGCTGCAGTACAAAAGCACGCACCCACTGGTCTCTTTAGTTGCTGCAGTACCAGCACCGACACCAGTACCAGCACCGACACCAGTACCAGCACCAAGACCAGCTCCCAAACTCAGTGTCACAGGTTATCAATCTAGCACATCATCATACCGACCCAGTACATCATCATACCGACCCAGTACACCGTCATACCAACCCAGTACACCGTCATACCAACCCAGTACACCGTCATACCAACCCAGCACCTCCACAAACTACCCCTCAGTTAACAGAATACAGAACAGATTTAGTCCATCTCCCACACCCACCCCAGTTAACAGAACATCCAGATTTAGTCCATCTCCCCCACCCACCCCGAGCCCAAAGAAGTCGTCTGATTCCTGCGTCATTTCTTAAGGACAGGGATGAAGTGAGGGCATGATGATAATATGGAGCTTAGTGTGTACAGAGGGCTGTGAGTCATTTGGGGAATAGATTAAATATAGTAATGACAGCCGAACAGCACCCTTCAGAGAACCTGGAAAACAGCTTTTCCCCATGTTTCCTGTCTAACTGAGTAATGGGTACATCAGTCTTTAACTGGTCTAGTGATGAGGGATAAACTGAAAGGCAGCCAGGTAACAGGCTGTGTGCCACTGACATGCTCAGTTTTAAATGTGTGTCCGACACCTTTATAGTTGGAGTCATTGTATTGGATTAAAGAAGCGTTGCTTATTGTTATTTTAAAGCGAGTTATTGTCATGGCGGAATATAAATCTGATATTGACAATGTGCAATTGATTCACAACCTCTGAACAAGACTTCTCAGAGAGAGACACAATAAGCAAAGGTAAAATAAAATGGCATAGGGATATATATTTTTGTAATCCTCTGGAGCAGAGAGAGGAGCTGTGGATTATTGTTATTGATTAGTGCAGCAGTGTTTCTTAGGGTCAAAAACACTAAACTCTTAAAATGAAAGTGTTTAGTTTATTTAATAAAAGAGCACATGTTCAATGTGAAAAGTGACAGTAGATACAGATTAGATGCAATTTGGTGCAAAATATATATATTACAAATAAAAAAATAATTTAAATATTTAAAAAAAAAAGATTTTCTGTTAAACACCTTGCATGTCAGGAGGGGTGGGGGGCTCCGTTGGCGGGGCGCAGCGCCCCTCCAAGACAATGGTAGGGGAAACACTGAAGTGTTTGATCATCGATTTTGTACCAATAAATCAATATAGAAGGAGGGCGGCGGCAAGATGACGTAATTGCAGAGCAAATCAATCGTCAAATGAAAAAAACTTCTCAGCAAGATTTTAACACAGCCTTTTTGATTTTCCTGTTATTATTCCCCACTATTGTTTCTGTGTTTAAAACAAGCTTATGATTTGCATCTTACAGTACGTCATGTTTTATTCATTAAGTCTGTTTCCATTGCACTTATTTAGGATCAACATTAATATATGTGGAATTAATCAGAAAAATGCTCAGGAAACGTTATACATTACAATAGCCTTTTCTCTCGTTGACTGTTATAATGAACACTATATCATACTGTATGTAGTCATTATTACAGCAGGGGGTCTGCTGCACGGCCCCCAGCCAGTAGAGGGCCACACCATCGTTATTGGCATTCAAAAATAAGCCATCAAATGTAAAGCTTCTTACACTAAGTGCAAATTAGATAATTATATTATTATAATGTGTAGCTACTTGTAGGTTGTGTGTGTAATTTGTGTCTTACTTCACAATTGCACTGCTTTTACTTTTCAAAAAACTCTGCTGTTTGCAAACATTGCTGATTTTGTGAGTTGAATAAATAAAAAAACACGTCACGGTGTGTGTGTGTGTGTGTGTGTGTGTGTGTGTGTGTGTGTGTGTGTGTGTGTGTGTGTGTGTGTGTGTGTGTGTGTGTGTGTGTGTGTGTGTGTGTGTGTGTGTGTGTGTGTGTGTGTGTGTGTGTGTGTGTGTGTGTGTGTGTGTGTGTGTGTGTGTGTGTGTGTGTGTGTGTGTGTGTGTGTGTGTGTGTGTGTGTGTGTGTGTGTGTGTGTGTGTGTGTGTGTGTGTGTGCGCCTTGGAGCTACAGTCTCATAAGTGAATGGAAGCCACCAGCGGCCGGCTGAGGCAGCGCAGGAAAAATGATCAATACAGCTGGTGGTGCTTCCTGTGACATTAGACATTAGGCCTGCAAATCTTCCCCCTCCCCTCCTCCCAGCAACACACACACACACACACACACACACACACACACACACACACACACACACACACACACACACACACACACACACACACACACACACACACACACACACACACACACACAGCACCTCCTGTTTTGTCTCCTGAATGTGAATATGTTTAATTTGAAGATGAGCTTTCACTATATACTTCAGATTTGTTCAGTATCTCATTCCAAATGCATATAGATGCATTCATTCATACTAAACACAGATGGGTAAGTTATCAGTTGAAGAGTTAAACCTTGACTGCAATGACTATTATTCTATGAACATTATTTGTATACAGTATTTGTTTACATCCCAAATAGATTTTTCCTTTTGCAGAAATGTTTCCAAAATGCCTGATTATTGGATATTATTATTATTACTCTATTTATATTATCAATAGATCACATGACCACAGGTCAGGTGCTTTATATACAGTCTATGGTTGTGTGGCAGGTGTTGCTTATGGTAACAGTTAGATGTATGTGTCGTGTGCAGCTCAGCTCTAGTGCAGCATGTTAGCATCTTTGAGCTGCAACCAACAGCTCCATTCCCTTTTTGTTTCAAACATATCGCCTTTTTTCTGGGTACAGTAGCGTTCAAGACAATTCCCAGGGTGACAATGGATGTGTCCGTCTCCACGGCATCCATTCCTCTGCCAAACCCTTCTTTATTATGTGTACGATGTCCATTAAGATGCAGCTGTCTATGGACAATGCGGCTGTGGCTCCGATGATGCAACAGCCGGGAGCAGTGACAGTAAATAAGCACTGACATTAACAGCCTACTTCCTGTCTGTGTCTTGCCCTGTTTGTCGGTAGACCGAACACATGCCAGCTGCAAGGAGCGTCCATGCCTCCACATATCAGAACATCTGGTTTCCCTGTATGCAAGAGCTTATTCATTACATATGACTCGTTGCTCTTGGTTTGTGTGGGCCCCTCCTGGTGTTTGAGGTGTTTATGTTTTTGCTGAGTCATAAGAGTTTGGTTCCAGCAGATGGAAGAACGTTAGTGGCAAAAGCCCAGTGTGAGGGAGGTGAGTCAGATCTGTATTTGGCTCATGTCAGTAGAAGGTTTTGTTGACTTTCTGAAATATTTCTGGTGTTGCAAATGTAGGTACAATCTCAAAAGATCAATACCACCATTGATCAGTTTGGTTTATATTCATATATCTTTACTTCTATCTGATGGATTTAAATTCCATTTTGCACAGACATTTATGGTCCCCAGAAAATGTATCCCCTATCAGGTATTTTTTGTCCAATACTTTGGTTTATGACTAAATACCACGAGAACAAATGACATGATGTGCTCAGAGCTATTTAGCAAAAGTAGCATGCTGAAAATCGAAATCAGGCGCTTGTGCTGTGTCTCAGTTTGCATATTTCTGTTGTTGTTCTTGCACTGTGAGTACCTGCATGGTGCTCTCATAACGATCACAGAGTTAAGTGTTGAGGCTGGAATCTTCTCACCCTCAGATCACCATCTGAGCTACTGAGCAGTGATTGAGGGACCAGCCACAGTTGCAGTTGACCCGGGGAACACAGCACGTCACACAAGTTATACATGTGTTCTTTATTTTACCAATTTAATAAACGTACCTGCAAACTTTTGTTAAAATGAAGCCGTTGTTAATTCCATTGGGTTAATTAAGCAGTCATTTAGTACTGCGAATGATGACGTTGATTGCTAGCATCCAGCTAGAGCACAGTGAACAAGGCCCCCAATTCCAAGGAATTTGAAAACTTCTATTTTACATCCTTACCAACCTTGGCCTTGATCAGCTGGTTTGTTGCATTATTGTTTGACCAGCAATTCATATTCATATCATTCAATTCAGCTCTCTGTTGGGAAGAGCTGTCTCACATCAAGTTAAAGCAATGAAAAAACTAAATGTGTTTTAGGTGGATATACCATGTTGCTGCTGCCCCCTCCCACAGCAGAACATTGTTCTCTAGTCGTAACTCCTGTATCTCCACACTGACAATACGTATTCGATACAGCCCCATGAACTTTCCCTTTAAATGTGGAATTCATTGGTGTCTCTCGCAGAATCTGTGAATATGCTGTCTTCCTCCAGAGGGCTGGAAGCTGGATCATCGCTGCTCATCAAAAATGAATTAGCTCCAACACAGCAGTATTTTAACATTCATTCACACAGTTATCCACAGCAATAACGTGTTCTTTATCCAGCTTTGTGTTTGTGATCCTGTTGTGTAATGTGTTGCCTGATGAGTCATACTAAGGTAAGGTATGCTATCATTTAGACGTCAGTTAGATAACCATAAAACTTCAGCAAATGAAACCTATGATTCATTTTGTTATGAACAATGCGGTTTAAAGACATTGGCTTTTGACCACACAGATCCACAGCAGAGTGTGGGTTAAATGAAATGAATGATATTGTGATTACACTCTGTTACATGAGTGACAGAGCGGGTCGACAGTGTCCTCTGTGCCTGAGTGCCGTCATGAAATATTTACCTCAGCTGATATCATCCTGACAGATATCTCTATCATTATAATCTTCAGTAATGTGTTCGCCAATAACTACTGTTCATGTTAGAGGGCAAGGACGGAGGGACAACTCAACGTTGAGGTTCTTTATTATATGACCTTACATGTCACTTGTCAGACGCTTTTACCCAAGACGACTTCCTCAATACTGTGGGCAATTTGGGATTAAGTGTCTGGCCCACGGACACTGCGGCAGGCCGACCCAGCTTCCCCCAAATGTATCTTTGGTGTCTGCACTGTAAGAAACGAACCGTGAAATTCACAGTATTTAACTGGCAGCAATTGACAAGTTACTTACTGTATTACAGTAAGTAACTTGTCAATTGCTGCCAGTTACATACTGTGAAGGTAATCACATATTTACAAGTTTTTATTTACAGTAACAATGTAAAATGAAACACAGTAACTTCCAAGTACTGTATTTGCGGTACAGTGTTTCCCCTAGGATGGAGTCATAGCAGCGGTGCTAAGGCACGTGGGCCCAACAAAATGTGAGCGCCCCGCGCGTGGAATTTTTTAGTGTGCCCCGCCAATATGTTTCTATATGTCTGCCAGCACAAGAAAGGCTCTTGAGGCTCTACAGGTGTATTTTGCTAAATCATCTTTATTGAACATACAGTAACACAAATACTACACATCCACATAACAAACAATCAGAATAACATGTATGCAATTTAATTATTTTAACCTGCTTTATTTGGGGTGGACCTCACATCCTCGGGGTCCGGGGGCATGCACCCCGGGAAGATTTTGTTTTAAATGTTGAAGTGAAATGCATCAATCTGGTGCACTTTGAGCACAACTTTATGTGCGCAGCTCCACTTGCTTGGAACAATCTTCAGCAAGAATTGAAACTGAGCAATCTCATTCCTCTGCAGGTTTTTAAAGCTAGGCTAAATGAAATGCTCGTTGATACTATGGCCACTTGTGAATGTCTATAACTATGTAAATGTATCCTGTAAATATAATGTATGATGTCCTTTATTGTTTTATGTTTCATGTGGAACCTATATGCTGCAGGTCTCCCTTGAAAAAGAGATCTATGATCTCAATGGGACCAATCTGGTTAAATAAAGGTTTGAAATGAAACAACATGAATTAAGGTAAAATGGACCTTTATTAATCCCCGTGGGGAAATTCTGTTGTACAAGCAGCAACAGGGTGAGAGTGAAAAACAGGACAGCACAGATTCACACAGATTAATCAAATCAAAAATAAAATCAAGACAACAAATTAAAATAATAATGATAATAATAATAAAAGACTATGAAATAGGAGATGAGTAAAAATAAGAGTAAAATAACTGTCAGCATATATACATATTTGGTCATATAAATTATGAAGTACGAAATGAGTTCAAATGGACATCTGTACATATAGTGACATACAGTATCTATCTACATATTTGGTCTACTACTAATATATTAACATGGGTTGTGGAAACAGTGTATATTTATGTCCAGTGATTTAATTTTAATTTTATTACATTATTGACCCCTTGTTGTGCAGCCTGATGGCTACAGGCACAAAGGACTGTCCGAGGCGCTTGGTGCTGTGTGGTGGAGGGATGTGGCTGAACGTACTCCTCATCTTCACTAGCTCTGCATGGAGTGGGTGGGAGGGGTTCTCTAGGATGCTGTCGAGCTTCCTCCTCGTCCTCCCCTCTGCCACCTCCTCCAGATTGTCCAGTTGTACTCCCACTACAGAGCTAGCCTTCCTCACGAGCTTGTTCAGCCTGCCAGTGTCCCTAGTGTTTGTGTTTCCACCCCAGCACACCACGGCAAAGAAGAGCACACTGGCCACCAGACTGGTAGAACATCTGCAGCAGCCTCGTGCACACGTTGAAGGACCTGAGCCTCCTCAGGAAGAACAGCTTGCTCTGTCCCTTCCTGAAGAGAGCATCGGTGTTGTCTGTCCAGTCCAGTTTATTGTTTAAGTGCAGTCTGACATACTGATAATTGATGGACACAGCTCTCAACACTCATATGAAAGAGAGCTGTATACTTTTTAATAATCCAAAAATCTTTAGAATATGATCACAACCAATAACAAATCATTTCAACTTGTTTATTCTTATCTTATGTTACCTAGTT